AGAGAGAGAGAGAGGGGGGGGGGGGATGAGTAAGCCACCTATATGCTTTTGTGGGCCTTCATTCGAGGGTTGCATGCTCTCACGTTGCCGTTGCCACCACTAACCCCCCTACCGTGCGTTTGGAAAGCACGCACGCACGTCAGTTGACATCCCGCTGCCGAAATCGCACGTCGCTGCTACTCACCGTTCTCATCCGCGTGTGTGGACGGACGACGAGGACAACAAGGTTCTCCGCGGACGTCGCGCGTGCTGGAACGCGTGCGATCATGTGACGACGGGCGGCGATCTCGTCACGGAGAATCCACCCGCGACTTCAGTTCTCGCGGGGAAAAAAGGGGGTGAGAGAGAGAGAGAGAGAATCTAATCGGAGAGCACGTGGCAGCCTCCGGGGTGGTAATCGTTTCCACGCGTCGTGCGACGTCGACGTGTCGGCCGGCCGACAGTGACGTCAAAGCAACATTCAACAGTCGTCGTCTCCGCGATCGAGGAGAAGGAAAGAAATAACCGACCGAGTCAGCCGAGTCGAGAGGGAGATGTGCGGTCAGTGCTTTTGGACGATAGACGATAAACGATAGTAGTGAGGGAGAAGATCGAGCAATCAGACCGGAAGCGGGCCGTCTGGAACGGGAGCTTGACCTTGACTCGCTCGCGGAAATGTGACTTCCGAAACGACGGAGACGCAGTTCTACGCGCGAGCCTCGCGAATGGATCGTACGTGACGACTTCGGCTGAACGGTGAGCATCTGAGTAACAGCGATGAGCGCGCTGATCCGTCTTCCGGTAATAATACGAGGAGGAGGAAATCGGCCGAACGCTGCGCGCTAGTTTGAAACTTGACGTCCGTTTATCGCGCTCGTTCCCGAGTTTCAAAGACGTCGCAGTAATCGCACGATCCTCAGCATCGTTTACTCAAGGGGTTCGCTTCCCACTTGCTGATCGTGACGAGAACGCGACAGTCTGCGGGCCCAGCAGCCGTGCTATGTTCCCCTCGTCAGCGGCGATGCTGAAGAATCTGCAACAGAGTGCAATGACCTCGCCTTTCCTGATGGAGAATCTGCTCCAGAGCAAGGCGTCGCCGGGCGCGGACCTCACCAGCCTGACCTTGAATTGGGCGGCGAGTTTAGTGGCGCGGCAGCGCGAGCGGGAATGCGAAGCCGCGAGTCTGAGGATCGCGCGGGACCGCTCGTCGCCCTCGGGCGAGCTCTCGCAGGAGCACCTGCAGGAGCAACGTTCCTCCGGCAGCGCGATAGGCCCGCGCGATCGCACTTCCGGCATGCTGATCGACTGCCGCGACCAGCAGCAGCAGAGATCGGTCGCCGGCAGGTCCGCCGCCGAGCGCCTCCAGCACGACCGGATGCAGCTGCTGCAACAACAGCAGCAGCAACGCGTCGACAAAGAGTCGCTGGAGCGGAGCCAAGGCGTTTACGTGGACGTGGAGAACGAGAGGCTCGACGGTCACGTAGTGGTCGACCGGCTGTGCGCGATGGAGAGGCTCTGCAACGAGAGGATCGACAATCGGTCCAACTCTGGCGTGGAGTCGTGCAACTCGAACGTCGACGAGGACCCGATGCCAGGCGAGCTGGAGGCCGGCCTCCCAGCCGAGAGGGACGAGCTGATGCTGGGCGAGCGGGTCTCCGCGATCGAGATAGACAGACGGTACGACCTTGGATGCAGAAACGTCATGCACACGTCCGACGAGATGACGATCACCGGGGAGAGGGAGACGGCGGCAGTGGCGGCGGCGGCGGCAGCGGCGGCGGCGGCGGCGGTTGAGCGTGCCGTCGACAGAATAGGCGAGAGGACCGTCGCCGCTTGCTCCTGCGGCGACGAACAGTGCTCGGGACCCGCCTGCAGGACCATCCAGGAGAAGGAGAAGCCGCAGCTCAAGTTCAGCGTGAGCGCCATACTCGGCGGCAATCACGACAGGAGGCCGCATTCCGGTAATTCATTTCGTCTCTTGTGAGACGGAGAGAGAGGGGGGGAAGGGGGTATTTTGCCCCCCGATCGACCACTCTCTCGCTCCGTGTTCCAACTTCCGAAAGTAAGATCCCCCGTGCGAATCGCTGGGAAGCTCCGAGCTTCCGCCCACGAAATCTTTCTCTCGTCGTCTCCAGGTCTCCTACGACTCCGACGACGGGATTCCTTGCACTCGCGGCGAAAAATCGGTAACTTTGACCGGCGTCGCTTTTCGCTTCAAATCTGGATTAAAGAATCAAGATCTTTCACTGAACTCCGTTTGAGCCGCGATTAAATCGCCGTTAGTCGCTCTATCTCGCTGACACAAGCAGAGGTCGTCGCTTTCTCCAACTCTCTTCAACTCTTCGATTACTCTTAAGGGACAAGTTACGGTACTGGAAATTGTTGCTGGCAATTCTTGCTGTTATTCATCGATTAGCTCAATCAGAGTTTGGTGAAAAAGTCACTTTGGGAAAATCTGTTTTACGCTAATATAAACTAAATACAGGTTGGTCTGTATCTTCCTTTTCTTCTTATGTGCGGCTATATGATGCTAGAGTCCCCCNCCCCCCCCCCCACATACCAATGTATGGGTCTGTGCGGATTGTTTCCCCGATGAACGGTGGCGAACGCGTTAAATTTGCCCCGGGCGAATCTACTTTAATCTTTTCTGTCAAACGATAGTTCTTATCGCGTTTATCGAGAGGTACGTTTGGTCCTCGGATAGAAAAGAAAAATTAGAGGAGATGGATCTTGAGTATATGTGACACGGGAAACGATAAATATGCTATAGAGAGATGTATTCTCTCTCTCTCTCTCTCTCTCTCCCTCTGCACGTGCGCTTCGGCAGTACTCAAATGATGATCGCCGATTACGTGCTCGCGGATTCATTCAGCGACGTTCGAAAAGACGGCCGGGAAGAGTCTAACGCAGTGATCGGGCGACGATTCGGTGAGAGTGTTGAAACAAAGCTAACCACAAATCAGTGTCGTGAGCAGACTTCTGTCGCCGGTCCCTAAATCTCATCCGCACACCCTCAAGACGAGCGTGCGAGTCGCAGCGTGCGTGCGGGGTGGAGCAAGGGCGTCAGCTGGTCCGCCACTTACCTTCACCCCAATATTAAGCCCTTACGATTGGTGCCTATAATATTAGACAAGCGGCAGGATTCAATGATGTATTGCCGCGGCGCTTATCGCGTTTCCTCATTCGCCGATTTCCCCGATCGTTTCCCCGATTCGGACCGTCCTGTTCGTTCCTTGCGACCCGCCGAAGTCTTCAAAATTAATGCAGAAATTGAAGTGGGAGAAAAAGCATGATTTTTAACTATTACCTTACCATCAGTGCATTGAGAGAAAAAGAAGTTGTTAATCTCGCTACGAATTATAATCATTGTCAGCGTTAATCAAATTTTTTTAGTGGTTCTAGAGGAAAAGTATTAGATTGACGCGAAACACTTTTCCCTCCAAAAAAAAAAAAATTAGTATCGAACTGAGACTCATATTCTCATGTATAAGCAAGAATATATATAATTTTATATGACGATAAAATTTACTATACACGGAATTTATTATACATGGAAATTCTATATAATAATATTAAAATTATATTCATGTTATTTAAAAATAATTTTCGTGAATTGAGAAAAAAACATTGAATAGGAAGAACGCGTTCAATTTGGCTGGACGAATCTGGCCACTTATTTTAAACTAAGGAAATTATGTCAATTTGAAGATATTATCGTTCTTTCTATTCAATATTTTTTCTCTCAATTCATAAAGATTATTCTTGAATAATAGGAATATGATATTTCTAGTGGAACTATATAGAATTCCTCCATGTAAGAGCCAGTTTTACTTTCATATAAAATTATATATTCTTGCTTTTATATGAGAATATGAATTTCGAATTGATACTAATTCTTTTTCTGTGCATAAACATTGAACCAAGAACTAATATATGAATAAAATTTTTTCAAATAGGAGTATACCGAGAGAAACTATAATTACTTTCTACCACGACTCTACCTTTTTCATGGTTTTAACCATAAAAAAAGCTAAACTAGCAGTGTCAATTTGTAAATTTGTTATCATTGACATTATAATAACATTTACTAGATAAATAATTTTCCTGACTATAATTCTTTTATTGCGATGATTATAGTTACAAATACCAAGTATTTTTCCCTCAGTATACCAACACGTTCAAGTAAAATGCGAATATTCCATGAGGTAAACGTCTCAATCAACCTAATAGTAATAGTACAACACGTGTACAACGTTATTACTAATAACAACACATCATTTATTGTAATATTTATTCATTTCATTTTGCAATTACTGCCCCACGAGTACTAAGCTCTTTTCTCTCAGTGCACGCATCCGATATTAATAACGCGAAAGAGACCAACGACTTATCAATAATAAGATCGAGAAGAATATGCTACTGATAGATAGATAGATAGACAGATAGATAGATGATACAACAAGAGAAAAGGACAGAGACTTCGTCTTGCGTTGTCGTCGCGCGCGCGAACTGTGAATTACGCGGAATTAATTGTACGATTTACGGCGGCGGCGCGCGGCCGCGTCGTAACGTCGCAGCGATAAAATTAACAACCGTCGCATCTGCAGCCCGCATTTACAACGCGAGTATCGGGCGCTGATGTCTTATAGTTGCCGCGACGGTTCACAGGGAAGAATCGACGGAAGGAAGGGAATCTTTCGCTTCGCGGCGGGAGGCCGCGAGAAAAATCGGCCTCCGGTGCGCTTCGCGATGGTTACAATGCCAGCCCGTCATCGACAGAGACACCTGAAACATTCGCCGGCGGTCACGCACGGGTTCGACGGCGGATCCTCGCCCACACACGCATACGCGCGCTGTGTGGCCGACCAATCTTCGGCCGGCGTGTCCTCATTGTCACTCTTTCCTCGATGCCGACCCCCGCGCGAATGATTGACACGAGTCGATAAAGACCGTGTACGCGCGCGCGATAAACGCGCGTAGACGCACTAGATGCATAAACTGTATACAAACCGGGGGCCGAGGGAGGTGGAGAAGGGAGGACGGGACCACGAGGAGTGGAGAGAGGCGAATGTTGCATTTAACATCGGCGAATTGCACGCATCTGCCGGCAAGAGAAGGATACGCGGGGGTGGAAAAGGGGTCATCGCGGGGCAGGAGGAAACGGGGGAGGGAAACAGGGAGGATAAAGGGGGAGGGGGGCCTCGAGGGGTGGCAATGGGGAAATTCGGTGCGTTCGAGATACGGGGTGGTCGAAGGGGGTGTCGGCGGGGGGAGGGTGGGGGCAGGTTTCGTGCGTTTGTCGGATAGCGGATGCATTGACCGTGCCACGTGCATGTGTTACATCCCCCTTGTCCCTCGTAGTATGTAGAGACCGCACCCCTCTTCTTCCCTCCCTCCCACTCTTCCACCCTCTCTCTCTTTCGCGCCCCCTCATCGCCGACCTCTCACCGCGAATAGACCCTCCAGCATCCACGAGCGCGGCACCGTCCTCCCACTACCCTTCCCCTCCTTCCTCTTGCACCCTGAGCCCCGCTTCTGCCCCCGTCCCTCGACGTGCCTCGGTAACCACCCCCCGCGGGCTTGTACGTCATGTCGAAATGTTGTGAAATAATTGCGCGAAAAAGTGATTGGCAACAAACTCGAAATTCATCGACGAGAGACGCGAGGGCCGCTCGCGGCGGGACGGGAATTTGCGGGGGCGCGAGGTCGGAGGAAGGGGGACGGCCAGAGCTGCGAGGGATGATCCAGCGCGGGGGCAGCACGAGAGGGGGGGGGGGCTCGCGGTGTCTGACGGGCGAGCGACGTTGAATTTCGAATAGCATTTTCACCAATCGTCCCGCGATTTACCGCGGCCTCTCTCGCTCTCCCTCCTCTCCCCTCCCCGCCCACCTTCTCCTATTTCCCACGCGAGCCGTCTCTCGCGGCTCATGTTTTTTGTTGCGTATCACGATTATTGATATTTTTCGATATCGACTCTCTTTCTCTCTCTTTCTCTCTTTCTCTCTCTCTCTCTCTCGTGTGTGGGTGTGTGTGTGTGTGTGTGTGTGTGTGTGTGTGTGTGTGTGTGTGTGTGTCGAACACGACGGACCGTATTTTAATATGCGGCCGAGCGTATCCACTGTGGAAAGAGGCGTTCTTTTTGCTCGCTCCACGACTAAGAAACTGGGGGACTAGGAAGAGGAAAAAGGAGAAAAATAGGGACAAAGATCATTACTTGCGAATACAGCTGTAGTCCGATAGGCGTATCGTGGAAAAGCAATACCGTCCCAAGTAGGAAATAATTGCAGGCGTGGTACTGGCTCAGTGCTGATTTTTGATGAACAGTACTAGATGCTAGTGCCGATTGAATACTAAGTGGAAAACTAGGATGGTAGCAGTGGGTCGAAACACGAAAGGCAATACTGTAACTGTACTGATTCCTAGTATTTTAAAAATACAAAAAATTTTCGATTCCCAATACAGAAAAACAGTACGAATTCCCAATAATAATTATTATTACTGTACAACTGTGTTAACATCACATCCATAGTGTGGAAGAAAGATCAGAATATGTGACTGGAATGCTTGTATCTGCAAATATCCACTTTTAGTGTGTATCATGATGTGACAAACATCGGCGCGAAACAGACTCGATTGGGCATAGTTGTTACCACCTAAGCTATTTAGGCTCCACGTTACCAATATCTCTCGTTTTTCTCTCGCATTTAAGGCAACATAATATAAAATCCGCATTTTCAGTACTGAATTAGTATCTCATCAGTCTGCAATACTGGAGAATATATACGATTCCTACATGGAATTAGCGTCACTAATGCTGCAATTCTAAGCAAATTTATGAACAAAGTGTAAAATCACAAGATTGTAGTATACGAAATAATCGTAATAATTTGACTTACAGTTTTATGTAAACTGCAATTCTTCTACGTCAATTTTGTTGTATTAGCATCTGTATCGTTCATTA